GAGATATCAACTCACTGAAGACAATTGGTGAACAGTTGCTCAACTTCGAGGATTGGTTGAAGTTAGACATTAACACCATGGATGCCGGCTCAGTGGTCTATCGGTCAAGTTATCGGGCGCGAGACTGGTAGGTCCTGGATTTGAGTCTCGCGAGTGAGGGATCGTGGATGCGCACTGCTGAGGAGTTCGTCCCATAATAGGACGAAACGACCATCCAGTTCTGCCAGGTTTTCCCTGGTCGTCTAGCTTCAATTGATTCACGCTTTCAGCTATGGAGATTTATATCTTTCTCCTTGTATATCTTCTAGTAGAACAAGACGTCAATACATTCAAATCCGTGCACACAAGCAAAGGTGTAAAAGTTCTATAACACCTGATCTAGCAAATATACTCCGTGACGAACAGGTTGTTAGAGGTGACCTAGTCAATAACCAGTATTCATAAACATGTTTCATATATTTTATTCACCTTTTCTTCTTTTTTTCTCTTCGTCCTGTAACAGAAACTTGTTGAAATATCTCGTTTTGAGAATTCCTAATTGTACCAAAATATAATATTCAATAAAACCATCAATAATAATAATAATAGTTACTGTGAACTGTTGTATTCAACGTACAGTTGGTTCGAATGAGCCTATATATATATGTACATGTTTATAATATAATCAGTAACCGAAATCACTCTCAACAACAAACACATGTTTTCTTGTTTTACTCTAGTCGTTATTTATGATAAATCAGATCAATTCTATTGATTGAATAAAGGTGAGAGAAACTCTTGAAAACAGTCATGATTACTGTTCCTTTCAACAAAGCTGTTTTTATATTGTACTTGGTTGCACATCTATTCTCATAAGTTCACAAACAAATCGCGTGCTTGAATATATATCATGGAGTCATTGTATATGAAACTTATTGTATTCTTCAACGGAAATACTTCAAGTGACATTGTTATTGTTATTATTTAATTGTAAAATTTTCACTAATAAGGTCATCATCCATATTGCTTTGATAAACTTATTTGTTATAATCTGGCACAGTAACTATTATTTAGTTGATTGAGCATTAACAATGAGTGTATGTGTCATAAGAAACTACAATCAAGTTGAGTAATACTGATACTATTGAACAGTACATAGTCTATGTCATTTATAATGAATTGTAAAGAACAACTTACAACATCTTACACGGAGACGGTTTTCAAGTCACTAAATCCAATAGAGTGAGAAAACATTTGAATCTTCTCTTCAGTGCATCATCACATTATGCATCGACATTTTTCCATTTATCACCAGTTTATATTCATTGATTAAAATTCCGAAAGACAACTTATAGTAAAATAAAATGATCATGTTACTCAATATGAAAATATTTCTGATATGTTTGAGTAAGTGACGTATAGTTTACACCTTGTTTTACACTTCTATGTAGAGGTCATGTAAGAGTACATAAAAACATCTATTTAGATTACAATAGTTTTAATGTGATATTCAATGTTTGTAGCTGAATAGCGAGTATTTGATAAGATTTTTCATAGTAATCATAAGTTGAAGTTTTATGAAGTGATAACACCTTCAAGCTATGTATTTATAAGAGAATGATTCGTACATTTTTGAAGAGAGAATAATCAGGATAACTCTGTGCTATTTGGTTATCACCGTTTGATAACAATGTGACACGTCATCAGTGAAAAGGAATGGATATTGATTTGAAGTGTCGTATTTTATTAGAGGGAGTTTGTGTTGTCGTATTGTTGAAGTTGAATATTTCAGTGTATCAATCTGTTTCACATGTTCATCCTGAGTAGATTGTGGTGTATTTGATGGATATACTGGGTGGAAATGCGTTGTTGATAATTCTTTCAATCTAGATCTTACTACAAATGATGGTGTTTTATTCAATGTACATACATTAGTGAAGTTTAGACTCAGGTATTCCTATAATTTATCCTTACCAGAACATGTCTTGAAACGGAACTTCATGTCTGAACGTTTTCCAAGTGGCATAATTCGTAACGGTGATTCAAATATTTTAATGTATATAGTTTGTATTTGAGTACTCCTAAAATACTGCAAGGTTATTGTTGGTAGATTTCGCATAAAGTTTCAACGAAAACTAGCATCCATTCACAGCTTACTTGCACTTCACATTCTTGGAAATGACTGTACCTCCAATTGTAAGTGCGGATGTATCATACTCGATCTCTATCTTTCACGAAAGATTAGGCTCAACCTACATCTAGGCAGAGGAATGGAATCAAGTTAGAATAACCACGAAAGCATTACACGGTATGCAGCCGAATTGACTGAGGTAACAAGGAAAGTATGCATATGTAGGTATCTCATTCATCTAGATGAGGGATTCGAGATGCCTCGTTGTCTGATGGTATGATTGATAACAATTGATAATATCATACATATTTTAATGGATCATAGAGAGCGTACATTTTGAATGTGATTTATTCACGTAATCAAGAAACTATACAAACTTAATCTATTTTCAGTGGTTAAACAAACATACTACAGTTTATAAACAGAAAGTTGCTTTATCTCTGTTTCTAATATATCATTTTTAGTATAAATATGTAAAGAGTGTGTGTTTATTATCGTTCGAGGAATCCTGGCGATAATCAAGACAAGCGAAAGATTAGCAAGCATGTTTTAGTTAGTAGTATTAACGCCGTAATTGTATTAGTTTCAAATGATGAACAAAATATGTGGACGAGATGTTATGTGGTTAATTAATTAGCATTTACACAATAGACAAATTCTTCAGCACAGGAATTCTTATAATAGTTATCTACATTAGCAAAATATAACACAATTTCTACAAATATCGATTTTTGTCAAATTCATACTATTCTTGTTTATGTGATAGATTCATGAACGAAAGGGTTTCATTTATGCAAATTTTTCTATGATATACTAGTCGTTTCAGTTCTTCATATCTATTTAGGAGGTCAAATACTTCTACAACTCAAAAACGTACCGACTTATGCATTATTGATCATTTGTTCTTCCAATGAATTTCATTTTGCTCATATAAACCGTTGTCGTATAAATGGATACCTTGCAACAAATAACATAGATTTTTCAATATTGATTAGTCTAACGCATGTGACAAGATATAATACAATATTGTGCTAATTCAATGAGCTGAATTACATACCTATATGCGTTTCAGACTTGTGTGAAAAAATGGAGTATCCGTAATAGACAGTTGAACGAAACTAGAAATTATTAAGTGAATTGAAATATGAAACTCAATAATTTCTGCTAAGTACACGTGACTGTGTCGAACCAAAGCTACTTTACTCTGATGATGTTTGAAATGGAATGCAGTGCCTGCTCTCAAATAATTTCAACAAACCTCGGAGTCGGAAAAGTGCACATATGATAGTCAGCACATTTTCTTATATTTTGTTGTCTTTTGCGATATTTCTCTCAATTATTAAGATAATCATTCCTCCTTGTCTTCACAACATAAAGCTGAATTGATAACATTTGTTTAAGAATTTCGTGGTAATAGTTTCCAAACATAAATTAAATCAAAGTGAGCTGTACAACGTTCATTGTCATGTGGTATGAGCTGCACAAAGAGATGTTATGATCACCGGTAATTATGTTTCGATCCACCTCGACACAAAACGATTTCTCCATCATATTTGATAGGATTAAATTGGGATTGTGAACATGTTTGTAGTTCTGGTAAATACTCAACCACTATGTTAATGTAAGGCTGAAACATTCACATCTCTTTCAGTCATTGACACATTTCACTAATTAGTCTTGATGTGTAAGGCAACTGAGTGATTGGATGAAGGAGACATCAACATTTAGGAATTCATTCGTCAATAATTATATACGTTTTCAGAAATACTTCCTTTATGAGTCACCATGCGAAACTAGTAGACTAAAGTAATTTTGAAATCTGTTTTGACAAACGTTTTATGGGAGGAAAAATGTTGCTTCATCTCTGTTTCTCATACATCATTTAGATTATAAGCGTAAAATGTTTAGAATATTAGTGTTAGATGAGCTTCGATTCCTTAACGTTCTTGTCAATCTCATTAAACATACTCTAATGTGAACATTTGTTCGTATTTTGCTTTGCAAGTATGATCGGTACAGTTTGTTTACGAGCAGAGAACTTTTGAAAAGTTCACCTCCAATTTTGGAAAGTCAGAACAAGACTAATCGAGCATTCTATTTCCTATATGATCTTCACGAATATATGTAGAGAGGATAGGCGACAAGTATTCTCGTGAATAAATAGATTTACAATCAGACCCGATGTGCAGCGAATGGACTGAATTAACAAGGGAAGTATGCATATGTAGGCATCTCATTCATCTAGAGGAGGAATTCGAGATGCCTCGTTGTCTGGTGATATGTTTGCTAATAATTTATTATATGATTGACAATTTAATGTATGATAGGGAGCGTACATTTTGGATGTGATCTATTCACATAATCAAGAAACCATACTAACGTAACCTATTTTCAGTGTCAACTGTTTATAAACTTTAAGTTGTTCTGATATATATATATATATATATATATATATATGAATATACCTCAAATGTCTGGGATAGGTTCATTCAGGGAAACGATCAGTGGTTCAGTTTATCTGAAATATTTGGGTCTTAAATTAAATAACTAGGTTATTACTAGATTATAGCATAGACGTTTCACAGTCACAGAATATGTACATTGTATGCATCGAGGTGGAGGTATGTCAATTAAGAACGATCCTATCAGTTCATAATTATCATTGAAATACTCTCCAAGTTATAATTTTACGATTGGCACTCATGATCCACTTTTACAGTGACCGTGCACTAAACACGATTCGAAAATTACCTCATATTAAATATCAACTTTGTGTTTAGGTAAATGTGTTCTACTACATATATTCACTAGCCACTAGAAATGAAACTGAAATTACCCATTCTGAAACAGATCTATATATCGAGATATAAAGAGAAAAGAGTCTTGGTTATTTGTTCGAATAACAGTTTATTTGAATTGTTTCTCAATAATGAATATGTCTCACTTTCGATTATATAAAATTACCACAGACAAAATTACCACACACAAAAGCACACACAGACCACAATATGATAATAGATCAACCAGTACAAAAATCAATCTGAAAACAAAATCTCAGTCATACTGATATGGATTCTGTTCTGTTTTGTGATTTTCTTTCAACCTGTATACATTTCTGTGTTTGTTGGTGGAAAGAGGAAGTCGGAAAATGATGAGTATTACAGAAAATGGTGTTTGTAGAGTGAATTGGGTTACGCTATGTGCAGAAAAATCAGATGTGTGTAACAAAGTTTGTTATGATGGCATTCTGGTGGTATTTCTCTTGAATTTTCGATTTTTAATCCAAATTAACCAGATTTAAATAGAAGAAATGCATTTTCTCCAAGATAAAAATAGATGAAATGTTTTATTTCATGCGTTACATAACTGCAATAAAAGGAGGGAAATGAAAAACCAGTTAGCAACAAACACGGAAATTTCAGAATAAGAAATTCTTACGAATTTCATTTGAACCAGCCAATAGAAAAAAATGAAATTTCATACGATCAGACAGACATCGTCTTCTTTAAAAATCAAACTGTCAAATGAACTTTCATGTCAGTGAAAGGGATCTCTTCTGAGGTGTAGTTTAAATTATCCTCTACCATTTACACTTTGATATTGTTTTTATTTCTCAGTGATTTTGATTAGTCGTTTGATGAATCGAATCAAACTAACATAATCCTTTTAAAAGCACGTATTTTGTGATCCATTCTCGTCCTAGAATGTATACGACAGAACTGAAAACTGTTTATTGCAGAGACTTTAGTATGTACATTTATATATGAACAAAAATCTCATAACATAAATTTATTTGAAAAAAATAGTCAAGTGAATATATAGTCAAAATACATGTATACTATTGAATTCTAACTGCGCCTGTAGCATTTCTTGAGTTACTGCCGGTCCCTATCCCGGATAACGGAGGTGGTTTGGTCATAGGGTTAGCGACCCCATCCATTAGAAAAACCAATCCTCTGAAAAAACGCTAAGCAGTATTGAATTCCAATTCAGTTACATAATCCCTTATGCATTGTTACGATCTCGAGATTCTGACTTCAAATGATTTCTGTCTTTGTATAGACAGTCAATGAATTAGATTGATTACGTATTAAACAATAAATATTTATGTCGAGTCACAAAATTTTACTAACCTTCCGAAATTTCTCCCAACAATACAATGCCATGTAGGATTGTATTTCTTGTCAAATTCTTTCTTTACAAATGCTGCTATATCTTTTTCGACACTATATTTCTCTAAAGCTTGTGCAGCACAATCAACAGCGTCTTGTTGCATATCATCTGACATATCGGCATTTTTGACTACTGCTTTATGTTCAGGCGTCATTATTTTCTAAAAGATTTTTAAAATTAGTGCGGATAAATTGAGTACCCGTTTACTACCTAATTGTGATTTTTAATCTCAAAACATACTATTTATATCATTAGGCGTATCATAGTTTTGACCTCATAATAAATGCAATGAAATGAGAACTTAGTAGCTTGGCTTCAAAGATAATATATGTGTGTAGGTATGTAGATAAATATGTATAAATTGAGTGGCACAGATTTTAATTGGCTCATATACAATCTTGACGTACATGTCTTATCAGTCTGTTTTTAATCACCATCATTACAATTACAACAATATCAATGATGGTTATAATGACAACGAAAGATAGTTATGAATCTATATTCAGTACCTTTTGCGCATTAAAACAGTAAGATGTGTTTTGTACTTTAGAGGTCTCTCTGGCTTACAATACTTACCTGCAAGTTTCTTCGTTGTATCATATAGTTGTTTTATATTCCCTTCTCTCTCAGCTTTCCCGACGTCGTTGCTAGTTCCCCCATGTATTTCTACTTGTCGGCTTTAATGCTTTTCTTTACTTGTTCGTTTGCTTTTTCGTAGTCTTCTTGTACCTTGACTTTCTCTGCTCCTGTTCGACTGTTGTTAATTGTCATTTTCTTGTTCTTCCTTTCTTCAATCTTGTCCAGGGTTCCTGTGATGATCCGTTCCTTATGACGGTGCCACCCAAAACCTCCTGACACGTTTTAGTCAGTGCTTCTTTGACCCCTTTCCAGTTGTCCTCCATCGTACATTCTTCTCATTACAGTAGATCCTGTAGAGCTTGGAACCTGTTGTTGAGAGTTATCGTGAGTTCGTTGAGTTTGTTAGTATCTCGAAAGAAAGACTGTATTGAACCTTTGTAATACTGTTTCCCAGTTGTTCAGTGTTTCTTTAGCTTCAGTCTCATCTTGGCCACAACCAGCCAGTGGTAATATGAAGCTATATCAGCCCTCCTTGTGGTTCTCACATTTTCCATTGACCTTCTGAATTTTTTGTTGATACAAATATGATCTATCTGGTTCTCTGTGGTGTGGTCCGGTGAGATAGAGCTATATAGCTTTGTGTATGCGTTTGTGTGGAAATAGTATGCCTTCTATAACCAATTTGTTAAGTGCACATAGATTCGCTAATCTCTCCCCATTTTCATTTCTCACTTTTAGTCTATGACGTTGTCCACTCCGACTTTAGCATTAAGATCTCTCATCAGGATGGTGAGGTCCTTTCTTGAGCACTTCACTATAATTGATTGCAGCCTTTCATAGAACTGATCTTTATCGTCGTTGTTGCTATCATTGGTGGGTGCATAACATTGGATAGCATTCATTGTGACCTCTCCTTCCTTGTTTTGAATGATGCTTTGATTATCCTGAATCCATGGGATCCCCATCCTACAAGTGAATTTTGTGATTTTCTGGACAGCAATAGAGCAACTTCCTGAATGTGTGGAGCATTTTCCTCTTTTTGAACGGAGTACAGCAGCATATTTCACGTAACCAGCTTTAATGTCCAGCTTGTGTCCAATGGGTCGCTGATTCCAAGCAATGCCAATTTGTATAACCTCATGTCCGATGCTATTCGACTGGTGTTCTCGGCCTCCCATATTGTCCGGACGTTCCATGTATCTGTGAAAGTTGTTGCTCTGGTTGTTAGAAGAGGTATCGGCCTCGTAATTTCTGAAAAATCTCAGATTTCAACCTAAGGCATCGTAATACTTCCTTGAACCAAAAGGGCAGAGCTTAAAATTATTGAAATATTTTTTCTAGTCAGCGTTTTTTTAACGTGTTAGTTTTCAACGGGATGGGGTCGGTAACCCACGCCCAACCATCTTTCTTTGTGTGGGCTTGCGACCGTAGTAACTCTAGAAGAGCTACAGGCGAAGTTGAAAACCAATACATAGGTCATGATATTAAAACTAAAACTTGTTCAAACTCGTTCAAAAATCTCTCGCAATACAGAATAACTGTCCACTAAGATGAATCGGTTTGCATGAATTATCATTATGTTTTGTACACAGTACTGAGTATCCATCTATCCATCCATTGTATTACATCATAAATTGGAGAAAGTAACTCGAATGATTTCTAATAAGTTCAAGAATGACATTGTAAATTACTAGTCCGTAACAGTGTGAATACTAAGCTTCAATATCAATCGTGATTTCGTAACGAATGCTATAAAACTGAAAACGATTTATCTTTGAATTTCGATTCATAGTGTAAATAACATCATATCTTCGTGAATGTTGTAATCACAAGTCAATGCTTTTCTATCAAAGTAGAACTAAACTACTTGATTTATTATTCAGTAGATGATTTTACAAGGTTGATTTAACAACGCCACAAAATAATCCCTTTCTCGGTTAAATTGGTTGTTCTCAATCATCATTTACATAAACATTAAATCAGGTATAACAATCATCGTTAAACAATATCCTCGAATTTATTTTTGCAAATACAATGTGAACAAGGATAATACTTTGATTATATACAAACTCTATCATCAATCAGATCATAGTTGACCTAATGATTTAGTGTATAATTGTTTATGTCAGTACGTATTACTGTTTTGAATAAAGCCAAACAATGCTCAACGTTATGATACCACAGTGTTACCTCAACATATTCAACTCTCCTTCTATACAGAGTTCAGTGATGAGGAATGTGTGGAAATGTCTACGCCATCAAGCTGGATAGTATGGTATGTGCTACACGGTATATTGTATTACATTCCAAAATATTTTCTTTTGATCACAGATTTCGAAATAGGAAATCCGTTATCGGATTTCATATCACATCAGTTTCTGCATTCAAGCAAATGATTGCATACAATCGTCGAGAATATTTCCACCCAGATTTTATCGTATTCAGTGTATACCAGTATGACGTATCTGGAATCATGAAGACGTGGAGAATTCACATGAGATTTAAATGCGAGTATCCCTGTTTCAGACATCTAAACACTGATCTATTCAGGACAACGTGATTGGTGACATTGAAATCACTGTTCACTGATGCAATGATATTTCAAATTATCACACGATTAGAATAGGATTTACTCAGAAGTGAATGGTTGATTTCAATGAACAATTAACTTGACAATATTGTTTTCTTTAAAACTCACGACATTTACAACACTAAATTTGTCTAGATTTTTGACTTTCTAATCTAATACCTAACTCGATTTCTACAATATTTATTACACAATAAACTACAATGCTTGCACGTCATTTATATCTCGCTGAAAACCTACAAACCAATGTGGGTAAATTCGAGAGATTATTCATAAAGTTTGTTGGTGTAGTTCAGAAGAACTGTAATCACTAAATACTAAGCCAAATTCACCTGACATTTTCAGACTACTCTACTTTAAAGCACAATAGAACACCTGTGTACCAGGGTAATAAGAAGGAATTATTTATTACCACTTTACAAAGTGTGATCAACTATGAAGATGATCGATCACAATGACAATATATTCTCAACATTTAAATAATCTAGATCAGTGCACTCAGCCACATGAAAGACAAATATCCAGTCAGTCACAACGTAGAACTTCGTACTTACGTACATCAGTTCGGTTTGCCATACCACATTAGCACAGAGATGTAGTTTTCGATTCAAATGCCATAGTAATAGAGGTAATAAGAGTATAAGCAGTAACCCGAATGACTGTAGTATCGGTTGTTATGTTAAGCCCATATACTTTATTCTAGCTTCTGGCCAAGTCAATTCACCTAAATATTATGAGTCATATTTTGATCTTGTTAATTATTCGCTTATTAACCTTGACTATATTTTTATGTGAGCGTATAAGTGTACACACTTCGTGTCCTATTCATCATATGTCTGTCATTCATTTTTATCTGGCTATAAATATTAATTAACGCTTGCTTAAAACGAGTTGGTTTCGCAGCCGTCTCCACTATGCATCATCTTTGCTTCGCTCGCTTACACTTGCTCATGTGCCCACAGCTTTCTGGTCTGTATCATTCATAAATAAAGATGTAGTTGCTACTTCCTTTTGCCTTCTGATTTTATACACCGTTAAAATTTGTATAATAACAGTTATCGAAGTGAACTAATAATGAAGCACGGCACTACAAGACTAGGGTTGGAAGATGTTATTCAAGTAGTATAATCTAGTGAAATAAATTTGGAAATAGAAAAATGATAGAGCATGAAGAATTCAGAAGATTAGAATTTGGCAGAACACAAAGAGTGGATGCACCTCTAACCATCGGTTGTTATCATGTCGCGGATCCCAACCAGGTAGTCTACACCTACCAACATGGCTCAGTCCACTTGTCAGTGACTTCATGGATTTATGCCATATTTTTGTCTGGCCGCCCCTAGCTTTCTTCCAACCTACTCCAACATGATGAAACATTGCATGTCGGGGCAGTCGGTGGTTGGGCATATGAAACACGTGTCCCAGCCATCTCAACTGATGAAGTTTCTCTAGTTCAACAATCGATTTGCCATCCTTACCTAGTACCCGTCTCCTAACAACAGTGTTTTCATAGTTGACTGCGTGAGTCAATTGAAGCTAGACCACCAAGGGAAACCTGGAAGCAATGGACAGCCGTTTCGTTCTATTATGGGACTCCTCAGCAGTGCGCATCCACGACCTTGCCTCGCATGATTCGAACCCAGGACCTACCAGTCTCGCCACAGAGCAGAATTGTCTAATTTATGGCTATTCAGATAACTAGAAGTTCACTTGAAAGTGTAGTAGGCGCTGGTGTAGTCCGTAATCAATAATGATAATGATAATTGGCACTGAGGTAAGCGAAATTCTTCTCAGTTGACAACTAATTTGACCGTTCATCTCCTTGTATTTGTTATTCATCTACCCAGAAAAAGATAAAATTCTTAGATTCGTCACACCATATCTTATTTCCACTTTATACACTTGAATGACAAATAAATTGATTCACAGATTAGTATATCCGAATACAGATCATAGAAAAACCTCAAATTTAGTCCAAATATTATCGCTTTCATCGGATTTTTCTCCATGAAAATTTAAATGATCAGCATTCGCTTTGACACAGTCGTCAAATTATACTGAATGCTTATTAAGTTTCCTTTTTGTTCATTCGTTACTGTGACTAACCTGATGAGTACAAAACACTCTGAACAAAGTTTTGTATACG